ACAGATGCATAATTTGAAACGCCTCTTTGAGGCTGGTGATTCAACTGCTTTTGCACAGCTTTGTCAGGTGCAGGAAGACTTACGTGTAATAGCGTTACACGAAGCTCGAGGGGAACAAACAAGAGCTAGGTGCCAGTGGGCGGAGGAGGGGGAGTCCTCCTTGTCCTATTTCTTTGGGCTAGAAGCCAAACATCAGGCACGACAGAAGGTGTCGTCTATCCGTGATCCTGTATCGGGTCAGGTATGTCACGACCCTATTGACATTTTGGGTGTGTGGCAACGTTACTATGCCTCCCTTTTTACTGCTCAGCAGTGTGACGCAGTCGCACAAGATGACATGTTGGCAAAGGTCACCCGCAAGCTTTCCCAGGGGGAACGTGATGCTTGTGAGGGCCTTTTAACTGAGCAGGAGTGTTTTTCTGCCTTGTCAGGCATGCCTCATGGTAAAACTCCGGGGTCGGACAGCTTTCCGATGGAGTTCTACCTACGTTTTTGGCAATCCTTCGGCACTGATCTGGTCCGTGTTCTCAACGTTGCTTATGAGACCGGCCAGCTTTCCACCTCTCAGCGCCGAGGATTGATTATAATTAGAGACGAAAAACTGGAGGCCGATAAGTCTCTTAAACGTAGATTATAAGATTGCCACAATGGCAATGTCGGGTCGTCTTCTTACTGTGATAGGTACGGTGGTGGGCACAGACCAAACGTGTAGTGTGCCTGGTCGTACGATCTCAGAAAACCTCTCTTTTATCCGCGATCTGATCGAGTATGTCGAGCGTGAAGATCTGCCGGTGGCCCTTCTCTCTTTAGATCAAGAGAAGGCCTTTGATCGAGTAGATTGGGGTTTTCTGTTACGTACTTTAGATCGTTTTAATTTTGGTCCTAGCTTCTGTAAATGGATCAAGCTTTTTTACACGGATGTAGAGTCAGCAGTGGTAATTAATGGCTGGACTTCTACATTTTTTAAACCATCTCGTGGTGTGCGTCAAGGCTGTCCTCTTTCTCCTCTCCTCTATGTGCTCTGTATTGAAATCTTAGCAGTCAACATCCGTACGTCACCTCACGTTACCGGTGTGTATCTCCCCGATTCCATCGAGCAGTACAAATGCTCTGGATATGCGGATGATACCACGATAGCAGTGACGACGGACGAGTCGATTGAGGAGGTGTTTAACATCTATGACACTTTTCAGGAAACATCTGGCGCAAAATTAAACACGGGCAAGTCCAAAGGCATGTGGCTTGGTGCCTAAAAGAGTAGAACCAATACACCTTTTGGGTTATCGTGGGTGAAAGAACTTCCTCTTCTTGGCACGACCTTTAGTGTGGGAGACTACACCATCCCCACTTGGGAAAAGCCTGCTGCCAAACTGGAATCACGCTTGTCCGCCTGGTCTGGTCGTTCGCTCTCGTTACAGGGCAAAAAGACCATAATAAATGTTTTGGCGCTCTCGCAGATTTGGCACTTGTGTCACGTCTTTGCAATCCCGGCGTGGGCGTCAAAACGCATCACGAAAGCTCTTTGGTCCTTTTTCTGGTCAGGCAAAAAAGATCTGGTTGCTCGCACCACTGTGTGTCTACCCAAGTCTCGGCGAGGCTTTGGTGTCATAGATTTTGAAAGGAAGGCTGAGTCCTTCGCTCTGCAGTGGGTGAAACGGTTTTTCGCTCCAGAACGAGCCAAATGGAAGAGCTTTTTAAAATTTTTTATCACCTCTTGTTTGGGCAGGTCCCCGCAAGAGGCTTTTGAATATTCATCCTAGTCGCTTGATGAACGCCCTACCCCCCTTTGATCGTATCATCTTCCGCACATGGCGTGCGTTGGATGGGGACAGGGCAGGGGACAAGCTCGCTTTGCAGGCATCTTCCGATACGCCTTTGCCTGTATCGCAGTTCTCCTCTTGTAACGCATATCGTCTTGGTCAACAAAAATGGTACCGTGAGCCAAATTGCGTATTGCACTTCTATGGCGACTATGGTCCTTTGCACTGGCCTCAAACCTGGGCTCAGTTGCACATTACCACCTTGGACCGGTTCGTCATAGATTTGAATTGGAAAATAGCTCACGGTGTTCTCTACACCGGGTCCCGTTTATGACATGATTTTGGGATGGCTCACGTTGACCCTCAGTGCTTTTGTGGAGCTGACGAGGAGACACTGGAGCATCTCTTTTTTGAATGTCGAGTTGCCAGGCTTGTGACAGGATGGATCTTTTTTAACCTGCTGCAGGTTGATCCTACAGCAAATAAGTTTACTGTCGACGAGTTACTCTTTGGTTTCACGACGGACCGTCGTCGTAAGATTCCATTGGTAATTTTATGGATGCTTCATACGATGAAGCACATCATTTGGGTAGCTCGTTGTGATTATCGGTTTCGAGGCAAGATGCCGTTGAGTCGGATTGTCTCAACAAATTGATCGTCCGAATCAAGTTTGTCCTTTGTCTTCTTGGTCGGAAATGCAAGTCACCTGCTCAAGTTCGATCTTTTGAGAAGGAGTGGCTTGCAAGTGGTCGTTTGGGTCATTTCCAGGGCGAGAAGCTGGTCTTCTCTTTTTAAATATCTTTGTTGATTCTGTGACCGGGGGTCGCCTTCATTGGTTGAACTGCCGGAATTGGAATCAACTATCCCCTTGCCTTCCTAGCTAGATATTAGAATTTTCTTTGGCTGCTCTTCTCTTGTGGGAGGTGGCGTTTTTTAATTGCCTAGTTTAGTCACATGGTCCGGGGGTCTGGAAATTTAACACGTTTCTTTTGGATGATGCTGATTATTGCTCCTTGGTTCGGTCTTTCTGGACATTCTGGAAGACCCAAGAGGATCAGTCCCTGGTTTCCCCACTGGATTGGTGGGATCAGGATAAATTTTATTTGTGTGAGGTCACACGCTGTTTCGCTCGTGCCAGGGCTGCAAAGCAAGTTAAACACAAACGTGCCTTGAACAAGCAGTTGACACAGCTTCAGCGACGTTTTGATGCTGGTGATTCTGCCGCTTTTGCTGAGCTCTGCTCCATCCAGGAGGAGCTTTGTGCCATTCACCTTCGCAAAGCCAGAGCTTCTCAGGTGCGTGCTAGATGTCGGTGGGCAGAGGAAGGTGAAACTTCCTCGGCCTTTTTCCTCAGCCTTGAGAAAAAACATCGGGCCAAGCAATCGGTGTCCAGCATTCGCGATCCCGATTCTGGTATTGTCCACCATGACCCCTTTGCCATCTTGGGGACTTGGCAGCAGTATTACCAGAAGCTCTTCACAGCTGATGTGTGTGATGCGGCAGCGCAGGATGCTGTCCTTGCACAATTGACCAGGACGCTCAGCAAGGCAGAGACGGAGTCTTGTGAGGGTCTTCTCACAATTGAGGAGTGCCATAGAGGACTTGCTGGCATGTTTCGAGGCAAAACTCCTGGTTCTGATGGATTCCCCATGGAAATTTTTGTATCGTTCTGGGACGTCCTTGGCGTGGACCTGGTTCGAGTACTGAACTGTGCGTACGTGGGTGGGAGGCTTTCTACCTCTCAACGGCGGGTTTAATAATAGTTTTATATAAAAAAGATGATCGGTTGGAAACCAAAAATTATCGCCCTATTAGTTTGGTCAATGTAGACTACAAGATTGCTACTAGGGCTATTTCTGGTCGTCTTCTCGGTGTTATCGGCTCGGTTGTTGGGTCTGATCAGACGTGTGGTGTTCCTGGTCGCACCATTTTGGAAAACCTCACTCTGATCCGTGATCTCATTGAATATGCTGATCGTGCTGATATGCCTCTTGCCCTCCTTTCCCTGGATCAAGAGAAAGCATTTGATCGGGTTGATTGGGCATTTCTCCAACGAATCCTTTCCAAATTCGGTTTTGGGGATTCCTTTCGCCAGTGGATTTGCCTTTTTTATACTGAGGTGCAATCTGCTGTTGTTATTAACGGTTGGACATCCTCCTTTTTTCAACCATCACGTGGGGTCCGCCAAGGCTGCCCCCTTTCGCCGCGTCTTTATGTGCTATGCATCGAGGCGCTGGCATGTATGATTACAGCCTCTCCTGACATCGAGGGTGTTGCTTTGCCAGGGTGTGACCAGGTGTTTAAGTATTCTGGTTATGCATATGACACCTCTATCGCAGTCACCTCAGATGTTTCTATGGCAGCAACCTTTGATGTTTATGCCCTGTACGAAAAAGCATCTGGTGCCAAGCTTAATCGTGGCAAATCTAAGGGCATGTGGTTGGGTGCTTGGAAGTCTCGGCAGGATTCGCCGTATGGAATCCAATGGGTAAAGGAACTGCGTGTTCTCGGCGGTACCTTTAGTGCCGGTGATTATTCCGTCCCAACATGGGAACCTCCTGTGAGTAAACTTGAACAGCGGCTGTCGGCTTGGAAGGGTCGTCAACTAACTCTCCAAGGCAAAGGGACGGTCATCAACATGTTAGCCCTCTCCCAAATTTGGCATCTTTGCCATGTTTTTGTCATCCCGGAGTGGGCTATCAAACGTATCAAAAAGGCTGTTTGGGCGTTCTTTTGGTCTGGCCGCAAAGATCTTGTTGCGCGACGGACTGTTTGCTTGCCCAAAGCTCAGGGGGGCTTTGGCGTGATCAACTTTGAGCTGAAAGCCAAAGCCTTTTCTGTGCAGTGGGTGCGCCGTTACTTTTCGCCCACACCAGGCAAATGGAAGGCTTTTTTCAGCTTTTTCTTGCTGTCATGTCTTTCCATCATGCCAGTTCACGCTTTTTCGTTGGCTAATTTTCCACGCCGCTTAATTTCTCTTCTGCCTTCATACTACCAGTTTCTGCTTCGCGCCTGGTTTCAGTTTGACGGGGGTGCAGTGGACGCGCTCCTATCTTTGGATGTCTCCTCCAATAGACCTCACTCCCTCCCCGACATCAATTCCCATACAGCCTATGTCATCGGTCGCCGGTTGGTCACTCCGGAGCCTCACTGCATTGGCAAGTTCCGTCCCACCTACAGTCCGTTGTATTGGTCTCAGAGCTGGGACCAAGTCCATTTAACAACCTTGGACAGACCGGTAGTGGACGTGAACTGGAAAATCGCGCACAGTGTTCTTTACACGGCCTCCCGTCTTGTCAACTCGTTCGGGATGGCCAACATCAATGTGCTCTGTCATTGCCGTGCAGATGAGGAATCCTTGGAACACCTTTTCTTCGAGTGTGCCTATGCCAGAATTCTCGTCGGTTGGGTGTTCGTCCTCATGGTTGTTTGTCCATCCGCTCCACCCTTTACCGTCGAGGAATTGCTTTTCGGGGTCAACACAAACAGGTGTCGCAACGTCCCTAAGATCATCTTGTGGATGTTGCAGGTAGTGAAGCACCACCTCTGGGTCGCTCGCTGTGACTTTCGTTTTTGCGGCGTGCTTCGCACAGAGGCAGAGTGCTTGAAGGCAATGATCGCACGTTTGAAATTTCTTCTCAAAGTGGTCGCCGGCCGCTGTCGTTCTCCTTCTCAAATCCGGTCGTTTGAGAAGCAGTGGTTGGCAAATAACACTCTCGGGCACTTTGAGGGCGAGAAGCTGGTCTTCTCATTTTAATTTCTCCCTAAGTTAGCTAGTCTCGTCATCGTCCCGTGAACGGGGGTCACCTTCGTTGGTTGTACTGCCTGAATCGGTTCGTCGTCGTCTTCTTGGGCTGGCTAGCTTAGTCTTTTTTCTTTGCCGTTCCGTGAAAGGGGACCAACTGGTTTGGGTTTTTCTTGCTGTTTCTGTGAACGGTGGTCGCCCTTGTGGGTTGTACTGTCGGGAGCAGGCCAGCGCTCTTTTATCCTTGCTGTACTTGTGAAGGGAGGTTGCCTTTAGGGGTTGCTGACTGGATCAGGTATAGTTTCCTGATGGCTGAACTCTACAAGCAGTGGAATGCTCGTGCCTGCGCCGTTACCATCCCGAAGGCGTTTGTTCCGTCATCGAAGTTATCCGTGCTCGAGGAGTTATCTGCTGAGATCGCTGGTTTGTTGGACCCAGCAACCCTCCGGACTGTGCAAGTAACATCCAATCGCCGGTTCGTCCTCGAGTTCTCCAATCCTTCAACTGTAGCTGAGGTTATCCTCACTTGTTGGGGTACTGGTTGTGCCACCCGATTACTATATACCATAGCACTATTTATCATTGTAAATAGGTATATTGTGTCAAATAAAATAAAACTTACCTGACACGAGAGGCACCTTGATCAACTAGGAGGTCCTCTCAGGATGAGGCCCTTTCATTGCACTTCGACTGCGTTGACTCCTGCGATTACCCCTAATGTGGGTAACTCGAGCGTATAATTTCTGGTAGTGGGGACCTGCGTTCGCGCTCGTCCCCTTCAACATATAATATATTAAATGTGTAAAGCTGTTTTTTTCCTAACACACTGCCGTGTGTCGATTGTTTTTGTATAGAATCATCAGATGTCAAACATATCATCTATCATAGAAGACACTCGATATATATTCTCCATGCCGAAATCTCCATCTCGTGTTCATATCATATGGTAAGTAAAGCTATACACACGTTTATACTTTGTGAGCACTTCGAGTCTTTGCACACTATTCAATTCATTCACTGTATAAATAACTCGCTTGCCAACGGAATGTCAGCCCATCGCACGTACATTCCAAGCGCCGATTATAAACAAACTGGCTCGCGTGTCACTCAAACGCACGTGTGTTTTTGTCCGTCAAAGTTATAGAATACCGAGTAAATATTCGAACATCGCATTATTTCACGGTGCGTGACCTGAAACCTTTCCGGGTCACAATGCAATTTGCGAGTGAAAGAGGCACGGCGCATTCGTGGACCTTTGAAGGGCGCGAAAGCCGATACGTTTGCAACTCTCGTCTTGCGCTTGGTGCCACACGGCCGCCCTGCCCCTCTGCACGTCGGCACGTGCGTGCGCGGGAGAACCGCAAGAGTCACAGTGGGCGATCACCGCGGACTTGCTGTGCTCATGCGACGAGTAATCAGGTGCCTGTTGACGTCATAGTCGCTCGCAAGCGAGCTCCTTCTCACCGCGTTTTCGTAGCACAAGTGTTCGGTAGAAATATGTGTGCCGAACGGCGAAGGAGGCATCGCTTCTCGGCCTTTTGGCTAAGATCAAGTGTAGTAGGTGACATTTTTGTCGGCAATTTTCAGCTCAATCAATCGATTTATTTACCACACAACATTACATTACTCTTCGTATTAGTGTTTTTTCTTGCACTATTACTTACATTTCGTCGACAAATTTGGTATCATTCAACTCCCAAGAGTCTCCTCTTTCGTTTGGTATATATTTGGTCAAGATCCGTCAAGTATTTTTGAAAATATTTGGAACTTTCACTTTTCGCTATATTGTTGTGTTATTGAAATTTGGTTTATTCATCAAATTTGTTCCTGTTTCCTCTCACTATGGCATCAATTTATCGTCAAAATCATAATGGTTTTTCTCCAAAGAGTCCTGGTTTACTTCCAAATCCAAATTCACCGATTATTAAAAGCTCTAACATGGATAATTATATTAAATCGTCACATTTTCCAATCCCGTATCAAGCTGTTATGGTAGTCGAAAGTTGCTCGAGTATTGTTGATATTTCATCATGTGATGGTACACGTTCTATGTCGAAAGATCCTTTCCCAAAGGCTGTTATTAAAGCTATTTCATCGTATAATTTGTCTCAGCCTTCGTGGTCAACTTCGTATTCAAACAAGAAGTTACTATTGCGTGTTGAATGGAAAATAACAGCTCCAAATGATCCGAAATCCGACTCTAAGTCGTATGCTTATTCGCCTGCATTAAATCCCTTATCTACACCGTTTCAATCGTCGTCTAATGCCTCTAACACAGAAGATTCAGGCTATAAATCGTTTGATTCGAACGCGCGTTATAATGTAAACAAATCCCGCATATATTCTAACTCACCTATGCAAAATACTAAATTATTTCGTTCTCCTTCAAATCGTTCTGAGCGACACGATGTTTATCGCCCTAAATCAAGTGGAACTGATAATTCTCAATCGCCTAGTAATTCTAAACCGAAAATCTTTCCTAAAACTGCCGAAACTCCGGTCGAAAGTGTGAACAATTCCAGATAAAGTCGATTGTATTAATAATTCACAGAGTCACGCGAGCATTTGTAATCAACATATTGATAGCCACGCGAGCGGTAGTATTGACGCCAATAACAGCTCGGCCGCCGCTGAAGACCCCAACAATCGTTTGCCTGCTATTGATCTTAAGTCCACCAACACTGACACCCTTAATGACAATTCTCTGATATCCGAGTCTACTAAAGTAACATCTACCCCATTTAAATATGAAATCTTAAAGAATTCAAAGGATGGTGATATTCATGCAGCCCTTAATCCTAAGTGTGAAAAACATGATGCTAGCCTGATGGAAATTCATGGGTCCTGCCGTAGATGTAATAAAGTTGTCGCCTCCTATGAATCTGATGATCATTTCCTCCTATGAATCTGATGATCAATTCCGCGTGATGAATTTGATTCTTTCTGTATTGATCAAGCAAAGTTATACAATGTAACCGACTGTGATATTGAAGCAGTAGCCACCGGATATTGTCAACTCGAAATTGATTTTACTGATCTCAATAACATTTTCTCTAGGATAAGGATTTTCAACATCTTATGGATACTATTCCTTCTCCTGAGCGAAAGAAAATTCCGCGAACATTGCATTAACGGCATCCTTTAATGATTAAGGACGATAAAGATCATCCGGCCGTCTTTAAACTCCTTCAAGAGTTTACAGTTCCTGATGGACTTGCTGATTTCTCGGAGTTGCAGGTTCCTATTTTGCCTTCTGATTGTCCTGTCACGGATTTATCCTACCCTCGTTACGAGCTGTATCGTACTGTAGTGCCGGTCAGAGAACAATTGGGACAAATGACTGTTATGTGTGTATTGTGTGTTACTATGTAAATTTGTAAATAGAACAATAAAACTATATAGGCGTGAAAACTAATTAGGTTATGTAAATTGACAGTGTGTATAAAAGGACAATTTTAATACGATTTGGTGTGATTTCTTTAGTAAATAAAGCGTGTTTGTACGAAGTTGTTTTA